GTGGGTGTGGGCGTGGGTGGGTGTGGGTGTGGGTGGGTGTGGGTGTGGGTGTGGGTGTGGGTGTGGGTGTGAGTGTGGGTGGGTGTGGGTGTGGGTGTGGGTGGGTGTGGGTAGGTGTGGGTTTGGGTGTTGATCTTCTGTTCACTCACACTCAAACCCACACCCACACCCACTATAATGTATTATCCATGTTTTAAATATATATATCATCATTTCCTCAATCGAAAGATGAAAATTTCGAGCAAAAATTAACAGCCGAATTATCTTTCAAGAATGATATTGAAATCTGGTGAACTATATAAGTACTTGATAATATACAGTCAAAATAATTAAAAAAGACTAGGCGAACAATCAGATGAGAATTGATTATAATTATATTTTACTTGATTTTTCATCAATTATAAACAAAAATAATCCAAAAAATTATGTTTAATCAAATATTCCAGTTACTTTCGATCATAATCGATAAAAAGATTATACAAGAAATTGATTATAATCAATGCAAGTCGAATAGAATCTGTTAAAGATTCTTCCATTAATTATGAGAGAAAATTGATTCAAATCATTATCTTTTACACAACTTTGAAATCAATTATAATCGAAAGTAAGAAGAATTATCAATAAAGCTTGGCTCTTTTTTTTAGATATAATCGATTCCTAATGGATAAAAAATTTGAATAAAAGTGTGATTTTTATCGATTTTTAATCAACTTTCACCTGATTATTAGCGTAGTTTTTTTTAATATGGAATATTATCGTCTTTGGGGCTGTTCACATATTACGTCATCACTAGGAGGGGGGGAGGGGGCACAGTTGACTGATGACGTCATCATATACAAAAAAATTTTGAGACAATCGGTTTTTCGAGATTTGGTTCAGGGCTGGAGGAGGGTAGGGAGATCTTCGCGAAGCTACCTCCCGTCCCCCCCCGTCCCCCGGTCATCACATTAGGAAAAATGAGGAAAGTTTTAGCAGATTTTGGAAAATTTTTTTTTTACTATAGGGGGTGTGGGTGTGGGTGAGTGTGGGTGGGTGTGAGTATGCGTGTGGGTGTGGGTGTGGGTGTGGGCGTAGGTGTGGGTGTAGGTGTGGGTGTGGGTGTGGGTGTGGGTGTGAGTGTGGGTGTGGGTGTGGGTACAGATAGATAGAGGAATCATACTCACACCC